AAAATATGGTTAGTATTCTGTTCTCATATACCAGCCTTCAGGTTTGTTGATATAACTATTCCTAAGGTAGAAAGCCCATACTTGTTTTGATGAAATTAGGTGTCTGACTCTTCCATGTGAGAACCGTAACTTGAATTGTGGTATGGTGATAAAATCACCAGAGCAAATGTATCTTGGATGAGAGCCATCCATTATTCTCTGCTTCTCATACAAAACTATTATGCACCACCCTCTTGTCTTCTTCCAGTTAATTTCTAAACACATTAAGGGGAGACATGTCTTGGTAACTCTGTCTACATGAGGAACCCTTAAGAAGATTACTTTCCCTCAAGGTGATTCATGCAAACCATGTTCATAAGATCTACTTAACTGTTACTTGTAAAGAAATTTCTTATAGATGCTGCACTAATTTCTCCCAATTTAGATTTGTAGCTGGATATGGCATATAAGCTATACCTACTGCTCTATAAGCAATATTTGCAAGCCTTACTCCTAGAGTGATCAATAGAATCTTTGAAGAAAACAGCCATGGTTTTGGCCAAGTAAGCTACAACTTATTTGTACAGTTTTAATTTATTTGCAATCAAAATTTGACAGGGTTTCTGAAAATGCTAGGCAGTGTTTCAGAAATTATAGCCAAATTCTGTAACAGTAGATTGTATTGCCAGAACCAATATATTTAATATATGATAGAACTATGCCCTAATCTACCTTTTGTTAACCTTTGCCATCTTTGAAATATTCTATAAAATCATTTTTCTATGAAGTAAAAATTCCTGTTCTTGATCATAAGCAGTGTTGTTCTGATAAATGTTTAATAACTATGGGGTTTGGAGGGATTTTCCAGTACCATTTGATGATTTCATTGTTCAAATACCCCTAGTCCAGCTGAATCCAAGCTACTAACATACCATCAGTGAATGTGGAGTTAGGAAAAGATGTGCACAGAATGCTCTCATAAACCAGAGGTATTTGGCTTCAGCATATAAGTTAATAAGGTAAATTTAATATGAAATTGGACATATTTTTTAAGATTTATTTATTTTAGAGAGAGAGCATATGTGAGCATTCAAGAGTTGGGGGAGAGGTAGAGGGAGAGAATCTTCAAGCAGACTCCCCATTAAGCGTGGAGGAGGGCACAAGCCTCAATCCCAAGTCCCATGAGTTCATGACCTGAGTGGAAACGGAGTCAGACACTCAACGAACTGATCCACCTAGGTACCTTGGAACTGAACACATTTTTTTATTAAGCAAAAAAAAAAAAAAAAAAAAGCCAAGCTTAATATGTCATAGAGAGATAACAAAGATTAAATATGGGGATTTTAGTTTATTTAAATTGAAATTTAAATGAAATGATTTGAATTGAAAGTAATACATTAAAATATTTTGCCCTGGCTCATTCATTTTACTGAAGAAAGGAAGTGCCAGAGTATGCAGAGACTGGTTAGTTGACAAAACTTGGACTTCAACTGATTTTTCATATGCTTACAATGAAAAAATGGACTGGAAAAACATGAATAAAGATTCAATAGCTCAAGTTATAGAGAGTTCTAAAAATATGTTATTCTGAAAATCCAAGGTCGGTGACCTCTTTCGTTTAGGACTAACAATTATACTTTTTGATAAAATAAAAAAATTAAGGATCAGGTGAAGAGTTCTGAAGTAAACACATTCCACCATCTCTCCTACTGAATACAGCTATATAATATCTGGGCAGAGTCCATGGAACAGCTATTTGAGGGCTCTGAAAAGTACAAAGTAGCAGGTACATTGAGGAGTAAAGCCAAAATTCAAAATATCACCCAAAGAGTGTTAAGTTTGTCCTTTTTTTCCCTACTGGTATACTCTGACTTTCCCTTAGTGCAGCCTGAAACCTAGAAGCAGACAAGGACCCTGACCAGCGGTGGTCAAGAATAAGCCCTCTAATTTTGGCTTGAGGAAAAAGTCTCCTAACATTTACAACAAGAAGGAGGAATCCTCAATGGTTTACCTTTTCTCAGTTTTCCTATATGTCAGTACCCAAACAAGAGTATGGTGCAGCAGTAGGAGCCAGGAGTAAAATGGGAGGCTGGATTATCTGAAAATCTAGGGTAGGAAATTTATTCCAATCAGAGGACCATAGTACCAATAGAATAAAACAGATCTCTATAGTTAGCAGGTTTTCTTCCCCTCTGTTGTCTTGTCTCTCGAACACAAGCTCAGATATGAGGAGTTCATAGCAGATCTAGGAAAATAAAGGTGCAGACTTCTGCACCTTTAAAAAAGAAGAAGAAGAAGTAGTAGTTCAGGGTATTACCAAGGAGGGAGACAGACTTAGGAAGCAAACACCTAGAGCTGTTTAAGAACTCCTGAGCTAACAATCTCTAAGATGTGCTTATGTGAATCTGGTCTAAACAAAATGCATAGATATTGGAAACCGAGTCATGAACTAGACTATTGCCAAGATCCCAGATTAGGCAGTGGTCATGGCACAGATGAGACAGCTCTGGAGTCCTGCAAAGATTCGAAAGCAACAATTCTACTGAAGCCATGACCCACAGAACTTAAAGTCTTAATTAACTGACTAGGTTGATTTTCTGTCAAAATAACAAAAATACCAACATACTCTATAGGATTAAACAAGATATCATCTCATACTGTTCAAAATGAAAATCTGACAATCCAAAATTGGTTGGCATAAAAAGTACTCAGAAAAATAACAACTCACATGGAAAAAGATCACCAACAGAATCAAATTTGAGACAACAGATGTTACATTTGAGAAAATCTTTAAAGCAACACTTTGTAAAAATATTCTAATAAATAAGGACAAACACCTGTGAAATGAATGGAAAGACAAAAATTCTCAGCAAGATAATAAATGGTATAAAGAGTGGGAAAATTATTTAAAAATCAAATGGAAATTTTAGAACAAAAAAATAATAAAAAAACTCCTTCATTGTTTTGAATTCAGTACAGGATGGAGATGACAAAGGTAGGAGGGAACTTAATGATAAATCTATCAATCTGACTAAAAAAGAAAAGACTTGAAAAATATGAACAGTGTATCCAGTTCCTTTGAGGGACCACCCCTCATAGAAGTTGAGAAAAATTTAAATAGAAAAATAAAAGTTAAAGAAAACTCAAAAAGCTGAAAAAGAGGCTGCAAAATCCCCAAATTTGGTCAAGTATACAAATATGTAGATTAAAAAAATTCAATAAACCCCAAATGGTATACACATGTTGACTGGCAACCTAAGGAGTTTCCCAGGTGAAATCCAACACCAGCTCCCATACACCCAGGGCAAAGGACAGACAAAACAAAGAGGAGGACCACTCCAGATTAGTAGGCGATAGGTTTAACACGGAAGGAAAATTACATACAAGGCTTGTCTTGGGAAGCCACAAGACAAGGATGTTCACCTATCAAGATCTTAGGAGTTCATATGGAGACTTTAACAAAGTTCAGGTCATGGACATGGTCTAGATGGTCTCAATGGCATGTTACTCTCTCACGTGTGCATACTTGAAACCAGATCCTACCATGAGAACAGTGAGCAGAGCATGCATACCAGAGACTGGGATGGGAGTGAGGATCCTCTTGACTGTCCAGGTCCAACTCCCAGCCCAAGTGGCAGTCTTGTCTTCTCATGACCTCCTTCAATAATATGCAAAGAAGTGGAAACAGACATATCATAAACTGCTAAAATTAAAGACAAAGAAAAAATATTGAAAGCAGCTAGAGGAAAATTTAAAAGCTAACAACAATGCAAATGACAGTATATTTCTCTTCAAAGACTACAGAGGCCAGAAGGAAGTAGCTCAGTATGTTTAAAGAGCTGAAATAAACTTGTCAACCCAGAAATCTATATCCATTGAAAATATTTTTTTAAGAATGAAAGTGAATACATTCCCAGATTAAAGAAAACTAAGAGAATCCTTTGTAAGAAAACCTGTTTTGTTTTTTTAATTGCTATACAGAGTTGTTCAGGCAGAAGTAAAGTTGTATCTAATGACAGACCATAGATCAAAGAAAATTATCAAGAATAAAAGGGATATTACATAATAAAGAAGTCAATTCACGAAAAAGACATAATAATCTAAAATATACATGTACCTAACAAAAGCACTTTAAAATATATGAAGCAAACATGGACTTAGTAGGAACAGGAGACAAATGCATTGTTTTTGCTGAGACCTCCGATACTCTTCTTGCAGTAACTGACAGAACTACTAGAGAAATAATCTAGAAGACCTGACAACACCGAAACCCAATTGGATATAACTGACATTTAGAGAGTACCTCACTCAAAAGTGGAAAATACTTCCTTTTTGGTGCACATGGAATATTCACCAAAATAAACCATATCTTGAGTCAGAAAAATGGAGCTAAAAATAAACATAAAATGATCATTGAAAATGACAGATAAGTACACTTTTACTTCCTGCTATTAATTTCTCTTTCCTCTCCCTTCCTGCCTCCTATTGGACAGTTAAACTCATTTTATTTTTTAAGAGTTATGGTATTTAAGATGTTTCTTTCTATGATACTTAGCTGTTTGGGCTTAAGTTCTGTGGAAATTGTTCTAATTGCTCAATATCAGTTGTCTGTTTCGTTACAGCTTTCCACTTGTAATTATCTTACTTGGATTTATTTTGTTGTTGGCTGAAATCCACTCACGAACTTTCCTCCACAATTTCTCTGTATACCTTTTTTTTCTTTGAATAGTTTAACCTTTGTTTCATCTCTGTTGTTTCAATAAATTTGCAATAATTGGATTATAATATTTGGGTTAAAATTGTTCTGAAAAATTTGTAAACATTGCTCCACTATCACATGACATTTGCTATTTATGTGGAAGATACTGCCCTGTCTGTTTGTTTATGTGGCTTAAAATAACACAGTTTATGAGCTTACAGTTCTGGTAGAGAGAGGACTAATGTTAGCTTCACTGGGTTAAAATCAGGATGTCAGGAGGGCTATGTTTTGTTTTTTTTTTTTGTGGAGACTCCAGGGGAGAATCCATTTCCTGGAATTTTCCAGCTTCTACAGTCTTCCCCCCCATTCCTTGTAACCCTTTTCTCTTCTAATTCAGTAATGCCAGCTGAGTCCCTCTCATGCTGCCATCTTGGATTCTTTCAGGTCTGTCTCTGTCCTCCATTTATAAGCAATTTTTCAACTGTATTGAGCCAACCTGGATAACCCAAAATAATCTCTTCATCTCAAAATAAACTGATAAGCAACCTCATTTCCATCTGCAATCTTAATTCTCCTTTGTCAGGTAAACTAACATACTGTATTAAGACATGGGTGCTTGGTGGCTGAGTTGATTAAGCAACTGCCTTCTACTCAGGTCATGACCCTGGAGTCCTGGGATCGAGTTCCACATGGAGTTCCCTGCTCAGCGGGGAGTCTGCTTCTCCTTCTGACCTCTCCCCTCCTATGCTCTCTCTCTCTCAAATAAATAAAATCTTAAAAAAAAAAGACATGGGCATCTTTGGAATCCTATTGTTTTGCTACCACAGAGCTTTTCAGTTTATCTTTACTGTTCATTTAAACACACACACACGTGTATGCATGTATGTACATATACATATGTATATGCATTATATATATATATATATATATATATATATATATATATA